GACACGAACACAGTGTAGTAACTGTCAGGGGGAGGTAAGGTGGGAAAAGGAGGGGTGGGGAGAGATAAAAGAGGGTAAAGGAGGGATAAATGGTAATGCACAGAGACTTGGCCTGGGATGATGAACATACAATACTACATGTATAAATGATGTGTTGTAGAATTGTGCACCTGAAATCTATGTAATTTTGTTGACCAGTGTTACCCCAATAAACTCAATAAAAAATTAAAACAAAAAAAAATTTTCTTTTAAAGATTATGATTCTGTTGCAGATCAGGTTCTCCAGAAAGCAAAGGCCAAGACAAAGTTTAGTATGGAGGGTGCTTATTAATAAGTACCTCTAAGAACAACACCTATGGAAGGGAAAAGAAAGGAAGCACTGGATATAGAATGGCCCTTCTAATTTGTCCCCACCTGGGCTGCAATGACCAGGTTTCACCTCCTCTGCCCTCCAATCAGGTTCCTGCTCTGGAGAGCCCCATGAAGTCGGCAATCCTGCAGGAGGGGTGTCAGCAGCTGAGGTGCTATGTGAAGGCGCTGACCCCTGCAGGCTCTCTTACCCGCTATTAACCCAGAAGCAGTGGTATCACGTCCTCTACTGAAGCAGGATCTAGGTGGGCATCACAGTGACTGCTACTGATTCTGACTTCACATTTTAAAGTGGAAACTCTGGGGCAGAAAGGAGTCAGTCAGTTACAAATCTGAGCCTAAAGCCCAGAATCTATCATTCCCTGTTTTTTACTATTCTAACCAGAAAAATGTAAAATAAAATGTGGGTGTCCATTTTGGAAAGAATGAGCAAAGAAATATTTACTTGGTTTAAGGACTATTCTTTAATGGGATAAACAAAGGGAATGAGTCCAGACATCTAGGAAAGTCTACAGAGTACTAAATGGTCAAATGCATCACTAAATTATAAATAGGGTATTATATATCAAACTCTTATACATGAATGATTTGTTTTTGAATGGCTATCTGTTTCCTACCTATATGCTACCAACATACACTGTGTTAAAATCCTGCTTTTTCTAGGTCTTCAATGAGGTCTGAAAGGGAAAAGCATTAACTTGATGATGATGCTCGTGGCTGACACTAACCAGGTGCGTGTCTGTAATTTATTTAGCAACTTGGTTCATCTGCTTGATTCTTCATTTTCTAATTTTACTTGAAAGTGGTTAGATATTATGATAAGACAACTTCCCATTTAAAATGCCATGTTAGTAATGAGAATGTAAGTTCTTTGCCCATGTGCATAAATACTATGTTTTTATAACACGCGTCCCCTCATACACTGTATTTGGGGCACACTGCGCTTTCTGTTCTGTGCTTGCCATGCCCCTTCCCTCCTCAGGGATTCCTCACTGCTTTTCTCTGTCTTGAGCGCTGACCCTCCAGATATCACATGACTGACCCCTGTCCTCTTTAAGGTGATCTACTCAGAGGTCCACGCTATCTAGTTACTCCCTCTCTGCCTAAGGCAAATTTCCTTTATATTAACTTATTTTACCTTGGTAATAAACACAACTTCTCATATCACCTAGTTTATATATTTATGTGTTACTCATTATTGAATCCCCAGCACATATCAGTGTCTGGTACTTAAATATTCAATAATTATTCATGTGAAAAAAAATGAATGCAGGCCATGAATGTTTATGATTTATATGATTTTAAATATGCATCAGAAACACAACAACTGCAAAATTATTTGTCTGGAGGAAATCTATATTTCTGGATAAATTTGAATTTATAAAGGGACTACTACTTTCTATCTTAATATCAATTTTTTTCTAAAACAAGCTAAAGTATTCTTTACCTGAATCTTTTTAAAGGACATAATGATGTACAAAATGAGTCTATTTCTGTTTCCACAAATAATGTATTTTTCTAGGAAACAAAATTACTGACTGTGTGGGAGATATTCTATATTCTGACTGGTAAAGCATTTTAAGAAAAAAAGTTGAAAATTCTTAAGAGTAACTTTCCAATTTTACATTAAAAACAAACCTACAATAAAGAAAGTCTGTATAAGACAGACAAACAAAAACAAGCTATAAATTAGGTCACTAGACTTACAATAATATTTTTGCAAAAAGCTTTTATAATTTTTGGCTAGCTTGTAAACTGGGACTATAGAATGACCCAGGAGATTAAATGAGTTTAGGAATTCAACCTCTGACAGGGTCAAATGGAGTGTCCTTTGTGATCCTGGCTAAACATTTATCCCCATACTCAATATGGACCATTCCATTTATCTAAGTTTATATTTTCAGTGCAACATTAAATCCTTTATTTTCAACCAGACAAGGTATTAAATTCTTATTTTCATCTGCACCTATTTCAAGTTATAAGGTTCTATACACAATTCTCTTCTCTTAATTAGGGGAAAGCTCTTTTATTTACCCCAAAGGGGAAAGCTCTTTTATTTACCCCAAACTGTCTTTCTAGTAGTTCTTTTTCTCAACTCTGTAGTTACTCTAGAAATTTGGTCCATGGGGGAAAATACCATGTTCACTCTACCCACACAATTAATTTTCATGAGACTTTGATTCTATCTTCTTCCAAACATTATCTTTTGAGATCAAAAAGGAGTTATTTGGTATAGGAAAGCCTATATCTAATGTCTTTTAGAGGCCAGAGACACAGACTTAAATTGTATTAGTGTCAGGATCATAAAACCACAGCATTATCTAAGGAAGAAATGATGCAGTAAAAAAAGACATTTTAGTATCTTATGAAGTGGAAATGAACGTAGATAAATCATAGAATTATTTTTCAAATGCACTGGCACGCCAAATTTTAGAGTAATCACTAACTGAAATTGATGTTAGTTTCTCCAAATAACCAGACAGTTGTCCTAGTCAAGAGTAAAAAGTGATATGGAAAAATTAAAATAGAACCTTGAATGCAGGCAAGATCCTTCAATAATCATTTTCACCCAAAGAACCAAGAGACTAATTAATTCTAGCTTTTGCAATAGTCTAATTCAGTGGTCCCCAACCTTTTTGTCATCAAGGACTGGTTTTGCGGAGGTAGGGAGTGGGAGCACAGGGATGGTTTCCGGATGATTCAAGCATATTACATTCAAGCTCACCTCCTTCTGTGCAGACCTGCTGGGTTCGCAGGTTGGAAGCCCCTGTCTAATTGATCTTCTATGTCACATAAAATGTTATGCTAAGTAATGCACAATTCAGGGGAAAAATAAAATATGGGCCTTTGTCATATACCACACTTACATTTCAGTAATCTCACAGAATTAAAAAGGTTTCCAAAATGAAAGATAATTATTTATTTTACCCAAGTAACACTGTAACAAATCTTGGATGGCACTGATACTAGTTCAAGGGAACAGAAAACAAGGTACAAAGCTAAGTTAAAGGCAACTTTATTACAATACTTTTCCAAACCTCAAAATGCATTTATTTTTGCATTTATATCTACTATATAATACATTATATTACAAGACAGAAAGCATTTCTGGTCAGATATTTCGCTGAATGTATTTCCCAAAATGGCACTTCCTAGGAATAGCAGCAACGCACAATAGTTTTTATTTCACTAAGTAAAATGTTTCTATAATGTTGCATAAAGAATCATTCATATTGTAATTTATGTTCATTCCTCTGATTTAAAAACAAAGCAAATCTACCTGTTCTGTATCTTACTAGTTAATACCTAGAAGTTGTCCATATGCTAATAACATCTACCAGCTTAGAAGTTTTTTGGTAGTAAACAAGAATTTTTAAATTAACCAAACCAAAAGAACAGTGTATTTTTCCCCATTGCAAATTGGGGCAGAATTCTCTTCCTTCCTTTTTTTAGGAGCCAAATCTAGACTTCCTCTTCTTCACATAGCCATCCTATATAATATGTACTTTAAAAGATACCCAAATCTATAATGAACTCTATTTTAATAAAGACTTCTTGTTTTAATTCACAACCCACTCTGAACATTATATAATAACTTAAAAGTAATCTTGGGAAATGTAGTACCATAAAGGAAGTATTTTCCAAATTATGTGGGGACATTATTTACTCATCTACCTCTGCTTCAAATGCCCAAACCAATTCAACTTACAAAAAGAATTTTTCCAATGGTACTATCCTGATAACAATGGAAACAGATATAAATCTATTGAACAGATTTAGTCCCTTAATATGCTCTATTGATTAAACATCTGTGAGCTACCACCTAGCATGTTAATCTTCCTTATTTTCACAACAGCAGGAAATGGTTAGAAAGTATAGAAAAGGTCCTATTTTTTTCATAAGGCAAATATTATACAGATTTTGCTATGAAGTTGGAAAAAAAAAGAAAAAGTGAATGAAAAGGTATGTGCTGGCTGCTTGAGGGGGCAAAGCTCATAAATCACTGTACGTTAAGAGCACGTGCTGAAACTTCATGGTGCCAGTCACGTAATTTTGTGTATTTGGGACTAAAGACGTGAAGGGGTATCTTTTCCCTGTGGAAATAAAAAAAGAAAAGAGAAGAGAAAAAAAGAAAAGTGGTAGAAGAGTCATAAGAAACAGCAAGAAAAAGTCTCTATACTTTGTTGATCATGCAGAAAACATGCCTTATAAAAGCTTAATTTCAGAGAGCTGTTTTATCTAATAGCAAAAGACTTTAAGAGTGGAGCATTTTTAGAAATACAGAGATTATTCTACAGAGCAATGGAAATTATTATAACCAAAATAAAGTGACTGCAAGATCACATGAACTCATTCAGAGACTACACAGTGTTAGCAAAGCAACCCAAATACACCCTTCTGTCCACTTATTTCAGTATTAAATAAACATTAGATATAAAATCCAGACAATATCTACTAGTTATAAAATCTGTAAGTTGTACATTCAAGTTCCACAAAAGTCACCAAAGTTAAATGTTTAGCTTCTAGTTGCAAAGACAAAATGCCATACCATTACACTTGAAAATGTAAAAAACAAAAACTGGGACTGTTCATGAAAGTATTCAATTTACCAAAAAAAAAGGACAACTTACTTTGCCTTCTTTGTATTATCAGTTTCAGATTCTTTCACTGAAATATAATAAGTGATATCCAATATTAGTTTGTTTTTTAAACTTTGAAGTCACTTAACCCAGCGATTTTCAACCAGTGTGTCATAAGAATTTTTAAAACATGCAATACCTGACTACTTAGTCAGGAGCACTGACCTCTTTTCCTTTAAATTGTCTAATAAAAAAATGACAACAGCCAACAGAACAATAACTGTCAGTGTAAATCAATCAAAATTAAACTTTTTTTTTGGTCAGATAAGCAAAAAATGTATTTTTTGGTGTGCCACAGAATTTTAGTAATTATTTTAAGTGTGTCATGAGATAAAAAAAAAAAAAGGTTGAAAATCGCTGACTAAAGCAATTACATGCACCAATCAATACCAAGTGATCAAGCTGCACAGAGCCACTAAAATATTCCATTATCGTCTAGTCACTGGCTGTATACTACAATCAGTACTACTGTTACTACTGCTTTTATACTTTTCAATTTAACTTCCCTGGGGTAGTTTCTTACTTACAATACCCATATTATGCATGGCATAATTTAAAGGCAAACTGTCTCAGGAATATTACTGTTTTCCAATAATTGTCTATCTGTCTAAACGCTACTTCTCTGTGGCACAGAACATTCATCGGTTAGCGTCCCTAGACAATCACTTACAATGCTCAGTCCCAGTGATTTGGGCCAGGATTCGGAAAGAGCGAGACTGAGTTGTGCCAGTCCTCGGACGCCAGTCTTCAGTATCCTCAATCAGTCTCTTCTTGCTGGCATCACTGTGAGTAGGTATGTGATAAAACTCTGTATTGCGCTCCACAATGTGTTTTCTCGGTGGGCTAGAATTAGGAAGGAAAAAAAAATTATTTTAAGGATAAATACCCACTGCCAAATTATTGAAAAGGCATACATCTAATCCTGTGTTCCTTTAATATATTTTGCTTTTGCAAGCATACACAGCTTCATTTTTTAAAGAGAGCATTCTTCTAAAATAATGTAGGCTACGTTTTTTTAAAAAATTAGGGAAAAGAGGGTATGTATATGCTAATATAAAATAATAGTATATCTATTCAACAGAAAGGTTACCGTTTAGGTGGGATTTTCCTTTTTAAGTGACAGAAGAAGGCAGCAGAAGAGTTTTCCAACATGAAGAAAAGGAAAAGAAAAGATTAAGAAAAGAAGGAAACAAGGGGAAATTAAAAAGTCCACAGAAGTTAAAATAAAACAATTTGAAATTATGTACCTGTATTTTTCATCTAATGCCTAACAAAACATAGATATGAACTACATTCACAATCACTACCAAACATCGATATGCTGCTAAAATATATTAATTTTGACAAAATTAAATGATCAAGTCTTCACTAGGCCCAGGAACCAAGAATGGTTTGGTACAGGCTAAACCAGCAATTCCACACACAACTTTGAAAAGGAACAGAGTTCCTTTTCATTCACATGCGCTGATAGATAGCCCTCATCCTTAATAAAATTGTGTGCAGAATCAGCATATAATGAAAAAGAACAATGGTGTATCAGAAACCAATGAAATATTTATCAGAAGACCAAGATGTAAATATTGGCTCTATGATTTTCAGATGTGTGATTTTGGACCAGTCAATCTCACTAAGCCTCAGCTTTTTCATAAGACAAGAATATTACATACAAAGTCACATTGTTCTAAAGATTATATGAAATAATATATGTGAAAGGGATAAATAAACTACAGAGTTTGCTAAGAACATTCATTTTTTCTCTTAATAAAACATAAATGTTGGGGGATTTATAGAGTATACTATTTTAAAACTTTAACCTGAAATCTAGTGAACGTAATAAATATTCCTTCCATCTCTCCTGTCTCTCCCAAAACAGGATAAATGCAAACTTTTGGAGGCTAGAGTTTAATATCAGAAGAGAAAAAGGAACCTGAGTCTGGACTAGCAGACTACTGGCACAAGGTCCAAGTAGAGAAAGTGCTCTAAGAGTATCAGACGTGAGCAAGAACACCTGCTAGGTTAAGTCACTGCTAGTAAATCACAGTGCTATAAGAACTCCACATGACCATTGTCATTTTAACAGTTCCACTATCAAAACTGTCACAGTACGCCAGAATAGTTTTTGTCCAGTGAAGGGCATGACAGAATTAACATTAACACTGGCTTGAGAGTCAGGCACATAAAAGCTCAGGCACCACGTCCTCCACTCAGCGTGTTTTATGCAGGTCATTTATCTCTGCAAGCTAGACTTTTCCCATCTGAGAAATGGGGATTGCATCTGCTTTAATGGGCTGTTTTGAGGAATGAATAAGATAAAAAGTGTATGTAATATGTTTTCCACAGTAGCTAATAGTATTGGTCTCATAATGTTTTCTTTTATTACCAGAAAATTATTTGCCATTCATATTCTAAGACTAGGGGTCATCTGCATATATAAGAAACAGAATCAAAAGCATTTATTATACAAAATTAGTAATATTATTATAGTTTTTGGTAAAACTATAATATTCCAGAAATGAAATATCTAAAACACCTTTTACTAATATTGAACAAAACCTAATTCATTCTAAAACAAAATTTTTTAAAATTATAAAATAATAGGCATATATTATTTTGTAACCACATCTTTGACAGATATAAATTCCTAAGTCGATAATAATTTATCTCATGCAATTGTTTGAATAACTTTATTTTGGCTATTAAACTTATAGTTTTAAATTTCTCTATAATTAGTGATTGTAGTTTTACTCTTAAATGGTGCCAATTTGAGGTATAAGACTATTTTATAATCTATAAAATGTCTGATCTATAAAAGTACAAAACAATGGTGTCAAATTAAGAAACCAAGAATGAAAAAATAACACCACATTGATTTTTAGTTACAACACACTTGCAAGAAGTAATAGCACACCTTAGACTCTGACATTACCACAGCAAAGGTCTTGTGCTAAATGATTTGATGTTTCTAAACAGTTACTTAGTGTTTTCTGGCTTTGCAACTCTATAGACTCTGATGACTAAAATTAAAAAAGAGAATAATCGCAATGATTTTACTTTAAAAAATATATGTGGGATAGACTATAAACATAACTAGGAACAAATAATTTATTTCAAAATACAGACATTAAAAATTAGCAAGCTTATTTAAAATTTTAAAGAATACTAAACAAGGGAGGCCCAAACTACATCTCTAGTGCCAATATATACCATGTATAATACTTACCTGTCTCCATACGGTTTAGCTTATTAAGTTTTTCCCCTGCAAAGGCATAGATACTCTAAACACATTCACTGATTCATACAAAGTTCTCTATCATGAAAAACATGTTTCTTGAGTTCCGTAACATATTTGAAAATTCTTGCAATGAGAAGATGCTAACAAAATTTTCTGGTGGTGGTAAGTTGAAAGCAAGATAAAGAGCTATAGAGGATAATGATGAAAATTACAAGAACTACTATTAATTAGGTACTTACACGGGGCCAGGGTTACTGAAAGAGAAATAATACACACACACACACACACACAGAACATGATAGAGTAGAGAAGACATTGATGTTCCCAGGATGATGTAAAACACACAAAGAAGAGGCCAAAACAAAGAAGAAGAAGAAGAAAAGATAAAAATGAAATAAATTTAAAACAATGAATTTACATCAAGATGTTATACAAACATCATGCTTCAAAATAATAATGTAAGTACAGACATACAAAAATGAACAAGTGTTAGTCAAAATTTTGTTACAGTGTTATTATTTGGACAACTGTTTTATCTGCATTTTTGTTTCCAAAAACATTACAAAATACTTTATATATCAATGTTAGTTCAAGTCTCAAGATACTAATACCAAGAGAGAAAGATCCGTTATTTTAAAAAATGTCTAGATTGTTTTAAATTCATTTTAGCATGAATCCAAATTCCTAACAAAAAGCACAGATTGAATAATTATTGCATGTAACATGTAGAAACAAATTGTTTTAGAATTATTTTTCAAACCAGGGAATAAGAGAAAAATAACTTACATAACATGAGTAGTATATAGTAATAGCAAGTGTAATTGCACATAAATTATCCTGAAGCATGTATTATGAAGAAATGACACACTACTTGAAAATTTTATTTTTTTAAAAGTAGCGATTATGATGAAAAATACAGGAAGCACAGAGGGTCATAAATAATGGGCTATTATTTAATCTTCATACACTCCCCTGTCCATCACTACCACTGCCCTCATTCACAAGCAAATATCAGTAAGTTTAGAACTGATTAGTACAAACCCCATAGTTCTGTATTATCACTGACCTAATTAACCCAGAAAGGCTTGTCTGATAATAAAGGAACTAAGTTAATAACATCTAAAGGGGGAAAACCTCAAAACATAACTCACTCACATAGCCTATTAAATATAGAATCATTAAAAAATATAATTAACCCATTAAAAGAGTGGGGGTTAGGTATGCTGACCTCCCTGCAGTTGAAAACCCATGTATAACTTTTGACTTTCCCCAAATTATGTTGTTCCTTGGCATCGTCCAGGGATTGGTTCCAGGACCCCCTTGGATATCAAAATCCACAGATGTTCAAGTTCCTTATATAAAGTAGTGTGGACCAAAGCATAAAGCAGTCCCTTCACACCTGTGGTTCCCAACTGTGGATCAAAAACACTGTTTTCAATCCGCAGTCAGCTGAGCCCAGATGCAAAAACACAAGGATAAGGAGAGTCAACTGTATATTTATTGAAAAAATTCTGCATGTAAGTGATCTATGCATTTCAAATTCATGTTGTTTAAAGGTCAACCGTATATTCACATTCCTTTAAGGAGAGAGAAGATAAAATAAAAACTCTAATTCGTTATAACATAGTGAGAAAAACTCCCTATCAGATTTAATACTAAGACTGTGTAGTGTGGCTATATTTCCAAACATCAAAGTTTCATGAACTCACTAGAAGGCTGAGTTTCACTGAATGGGGGTGGGACACAGTAGTTAAGTTGATCTCAATAGTTCACCAATACTAACTCTTCATCTAGCCACAGGGTAAAGCATGCCTTCCTCTGCCTTGCTGTTTTAAGTAGTAGGAAAATAGTTTTTCAAAATAACCTTCCTCAGCAGAATAGAATTTTAGATGCATATTTAAACATTTACAGTTTGGGGAGGGATGTTCAGTGAGATGCAGCAAATGGAGGGTTGATTGATTTCAACATAAAGATACCAATTGGAATATGACAAGTATTTTTATGCATTTTAGAAAATCTGCCCAACTGGAACAGCCCATCATACACCACAGTGGCATATATACCAATGTGACAGTCAAATGACCTGGCCTTTTACCCTGTCTATTTTGCCCACTTCCCCTCTGCCCTGGGCAAGTTGCAATCTACAGAAAGAAGCCTCTTTTTCTTCAACAGTGAAATGAATTACAGTTTTTCTTTCAGACTTGTTGCAAGAGGATGTTTAACATATCGATTTGAAGGCACTGAAAACTATACAAACACAGGGTTGTTAGGACAGATTGAGATCTCAACTGCTCAATGTAAAAAAAGTACTATTAAACCCCGCTGCAGCTTATACACATTATGTGCTCATATAGCCTCAATTCACTCAATTTATCCTCAAGTCTACACTCATTAAAAACAAATATTAATTCAAAGTAACAGAAATAAGCCCAATTCACAAACAGGAGATACAGAGGAAGGCACACCAAAAGCTGACTCCAAAAACGTAGGCTCCCATCTTAGTTCCATCACTTAAAAGCTGCCTGATTTGAGAAAATTAAGTAACTTCTCAGTATTCAGTTTAAATGAAAATTAAATCACATAACGCATTTAGAATCACGTAGCACAATGCATAGTAATACCTAATAAATAAATGTCAATCTCAATCTTAAATACATATTTAACCTAAATGCTGAAATTTATTTTTCCAAGTCCCATTTACCTCTTTACAAGTCAAATTGTTTCACTGGAATCTAGGAACTAGTCAAAGTCTTTGTGTATAAGAATTTAACTTTAAATAGACAAATAATAAATCAGGGTTGGGAATTTTTCCCTAGTACATTGGTGTGCAATATTCCTAGTGTATATAATATGAAACTACTCGGTTAACGAGACCACAGTAACAATAAAATAGCTTTGTTCTAATAACTCAATAGTGAACTAGTGTGTCTAGGATAGATATTTCCTATTTCCAATTTTACTGTTAGAGTAATTATAAAGAAATTTCAGCACAAGCTCAGAATTGTCATAACTTGATTAAAACAAAATTACTTTAAATTCTTATCTAATGTGATTTTAAAAAGTTAGTATTCACCAGCCAGTTTACTGTCAATACCAACCAATAAAACAGCAAGGTTTTTAAGTTATACTTCAGTGATTCCCATTGTCTATGCCAACTACCTATGACATACAAGAAGTTGATAACTATCTCTCTTAACTAATTTCAAAGGTGTATAGACTTTCTATCATCCAGTGATACACAACTGCACATATAGAGGTCTACACCTTCCAGCAACATTGTTTGAAAAAGCAAAAATGTTATTAGAGACTTTACATGAAAAGCACTTGTTTTATGAATTTGTAAATCAAGTCAGTTTTACATATGCCAATCATCAGTGGTATATTTGTTTGTTTTCCGATCTACCTTTACTTTGTCTTTTAGCAGTCTAGACTGGTACACATTACATTGCATTCCCCAAAGCATTACCTCTTTTAATCCATTACACAGCAAATCCCACATACATTTTATAACACAAGTCAAACACTAATATTTATTATCATAAAGCAATTCACCACCACATAGCAATGCAAATCAAACTTATTGAAAATACTAAATGTGGTTATTCTAAATTATAGCTATTTTGCAAAATTTAACTTAATTTTGCAAAAATTCGGCATTCATGCTGTTTACTCATATATAAATCACCATATTTTCTCTCCAGTAATGTGGATACTAACTTTGTCACTTGTGTTTTCTGCAAAGAGAAAAGCATTTTAAAATATTACTACCATATCATTATATTTTGTATCTTCCAAGGCCAGGTTCTTCAAAATACCACATAGGAACTGTTAGAAAAAAATTGCAGTCCAACAAAATTGAAATTAATAGAGGTTACATGAAAAGACTTACCTCTTGAAAGCAGTGGCACATTATAATGCAAGGGTGTATGGAAAGGGAAAAAGTAAATCATTTAAACTACTTGATGCAAAATAGCTTCTCTTCCAGTTTGGAATATAAAGTGCCATTTTGCTCTAAGAACAGTAAGGAGAGTGGTACAAAAGTAGCAAGCCGAGACCAATAATTTTTATATATTAAAGAAAGAAAAAATTTCTTAAAGTGCCTTGTTCATTATTATTTACATGAAGCAGGAATGCTTATATCATATTATTAAGAAATATTCTGAAGCTATCAACATAATCATAGATCTAATACTATTAGATAGGATGAGTAATTATTTCTCCGTAATTAGTAAGTACTTGTGTCTTAAGTTTGCTAATACTATATAAATATGGATGGGATGTCTAGCAAACTGGCAAATTAACAAGTTACTTCAAATCACTTAAAAATTGAAATATCTTGCTTTGAGGAAAAAGATAACATGCATTTAACTTTACATCCTTCTGAAATCTTAAATTTTTGGCTACTGGCATATATTATCTTTTAAATAAAAAGTAATTAATAGAAAGTAAAAACTGTAAACTTTGAAAAATGCTTTGTTCCAGATCTTTTGAAACATCATAAAAATACAGGAAATTTAATAATCATGTAATTAGTGAAATGTCTGACAGAGATTAAAATAAAATAAAAAAAGTTTGGCACCTGATGCAGGAAATGCATTGATCAATAACACAAAACACCTAATCTTCAAATGACACTTCCTGACAAGTACAGTGTATGATTTATTTTTTCTTTCTCTAATCTAATGTAATAAGAGGAAGGGCACTGTAAATTTGTTTTAAAATTTCAGAGGCACCACACTTTATTTTCAGAGTAATCAAATTTTCACTGCCCTATCATCTGGACATTTGAAATCAAGCTATTTTTAAATACACCCAGTTTGCAAATGCAAAGCAGTAATCTGCTTGTTAATGATGCAAAATACATAATAATGTCTTTCCTCCTGAATCTTGCACAGTGCTGGACACCAGGCACATGTTCAATAACCACATGGTGATTGATAAAGAAGCCACCATGAAGGTCCTATTATAACTATACCACAGCCTACAGTTTCAGTTTGAAAATAATATACTTTAAGTCATTTCAAGTTTAATCATCAAAGCTATGCTTATAGAACACAAAATTCTAACTTGGTGTTTTTACGTACTTTAAATGTACTTTTCCATAACCTCAATTTGCTCTTACCTCTACAGTTTTCCATTAAGAAGACTGTCATGTAAAATTTCAAGAAGTATTAATAAGGAGAAAAGATTTTAGTGTAAACACTTCCTTCAATGGACTTTCCTTTTACTGAACCAGCAATTTAATAAACACAGTAAACTTCTGCTTTTAGTTTTCTGTGGGGCTAGCATTTGATAGGCAGTATCTGTCTTTTCAGAATATCCACTTTGATTACTTTAAAATCAACTGTCTTAAACTAGATATATATTAAAAAAAAAAAAACAAACAACCAAACACAATTCAACACTACATACTATTTTTCTCCCTCACATGAAAAAGAAATAACATTCTTTGAAGGACACTAATTTTCCTCAATATCTACAGCAAAACTTTAAAAAACCACCCACAACCACAAAACCATTATGTGAGGACCAGTAGCTGTTCCTCCAGACCTCCTCCTGCACTTTCTCTCAGCAGCAGCCTGGAACCCTGCCACATCTTTTTCAAAGCCCCACAGTTGCCATGGCAACAGTGCTACCCAAGCACAGTCCCTTCATTACATGAATTACCATTCGGAAGGGATTATCTCAGAAAGAACCTAGCCACACAATTCTTTTAATTATATTTTCTTGGGAACTGGCATTGGTAAAAACCATCATGCATGCAGATTATTTCCCTTTGTTTTCCTTTTTAAAGTACACTTTTTGTCACAATAAATCTTGTCAAAATGAGTTTATAAAAATGACTTGGGTATTAAATATGATCACTGAATTCAAAAAAGAATAAAATGACCATCTATAAATAAAAGACTTCAAAAGGGAAAAATTATAAGGAATAGATTTTTTAAAAACTTGTAACATTATATATTTAGTGTCCATTGCTTTAAAACTATTCATTTTAGAAACATTTTCACAATGACAATATTCTCTAATTTGCTTCTGATGTTTATAAGCAGCCCTTGACATTATTGTTCTGTCATTATTGTTTGCCTTTAGAGACTAAATTCGAGCATAACCTTACCTGAAAACAATGTCGCTAGCTATTTAACCTAAGCCAATGCATCTTACATAGACATGAGTGAAAACTAAATTTGTTTTCTGTCTTTGTAAGACTAACTCCTAGAAAAAAAAGCTTCTAACAAACTCATTTCCTCTCTCCTTAGGACATGATACATAAACTGATAAACTGACACAACTGTATAAACTTTTAAACTTGTCTGTTTAAACTTCTGGTGGCTAATAAAGGGATGGAAAAATTAAGGAAGAAAGATGTAAGATTTTCCTTGCATTATAAGTGCCAGCTGCTCAATGTTGTGCTAGGACTTGGAGAAAAAGAGTTATAGCATATGTTACATGATTCATAACATGTCAAAATGCATAATTAGGTTTTGATTAACCTATAATTGCCTTGCACGAAGTGCTGTATGTATAGAAAATAAAGCTACATGCTAATGAAGCAAATAAAACCTCATTTCCCTTCCTTCAAAGAATAGCTGCTTTGGGGGGAACTTAGATTGTTTCCTGGAAATTGCCTGAAAGAAGAGTTTTGATAAGAGCAGAAAGCACCCTTGGCCACCTACCCATTTTGCTGTTTACTGTCACCCTGGGATCCTCTTCTCTGTCCCTCTGCTAGCTCCTGAGCAGTCTCGGAACACACGCTGGTGACTGTGGGCTGCCGTGGGACATTAACTGCAGGTTTACCAGCGCTCAGTGCAGGTGAACGCTGGTCAGCACTAAGATTGGCATTAGCATGCAGTCCAGGTGCAGCAAATAGGGGAGGAGCGACAGCAGCCACAGGTGGAGGGGAAGCATGTGATGAAGTGGTTGCATGGGCTGGGGTGAAGGCAGACGATGGTGATGGAATGGATGTGACTTTTGGTGAAGACACAGAACCAAAGGGTCGTGGTGCCTTATTGTAGGCCAGGTTGGTTGTGGAAGTGATTTTGGACACAGCAGGAGATGTAATGGGCACAGGTTTAACTACTTCTTTAGGTTCTCCCTATGTAAAATAAAAATAAACATACACAAAAACACACCAAATACATGCAAAATAGATTCACTGAAAAAGAACACAGCTCAGTTTTTAAAAAGACAAACACAATCATGTTAGCAGCTCAAACTGTACATGTTTCCAGATAAAAACAATTAAGTTGATATAGCATAACATGCATGCTAACTCTTCTCAACATGCATAACACAGATGCACACACTGAATATATTTTTTTAATAAAAATGAAAGCAGTTTCAAAATATTCAGAAAATAGAGCAGGAAAGCTATCAAAAAGCCTAAAGGCCATCATAAATGTCAATTTAGATGTATTCCAAAGGAAAAAATTTTAAATACCTCATAATAAATAATACACTGCTAACCAAAATGTTTATTTTAAAATATCCAGACTCTCAATTATAATTTCCTCTTTCAAACATGTTTAATTACTTCCAGAGTATAATCATTTGATTCATGCAGAAGCAGCAGCATATTTCTAACTCTTCATTTAAAAAAAAGGGGGGTAAGATTGTTTTCAACATCTAACTCAGAAATGTGCACATTCTAATTAATTATTTTGAATCAAGAAATTGTTTCTAAAGAAGCTGCTTTTTAAAAATCAACAAAAAAGCAAACAAATGAACAAAACAAAAAATCAATCCTTTTCCTTTAGTCCACCAGTTTCTCTCTCCAGGATGTTTTGAGATATCATTCAGGAGATAAAAAGAAAAAAAATTCTTTCCCAAAATAAATATTTAATAGTTACATAGGGAACAAAAAATGATCTTAGATTTTTTTTTTACTGCTATGGGCCAAAGAAAAAAATAACTAGTAAGGAAGATCAATTCCTCCTAAAATTAACAGAATTTGTGCTTACAAATCCTTCTTCCAAAGCAAGTGTAAAATTTTTTAAAAATTTAAAAAGAAATCCCTATTCACTCTACCATCCTGAAATAAAAACAATGAAATTTTTAAACAATCATACAACAGGAATGTTTTAAGAAAACAAAGATAATCTAAATTAATCTTGTAAAAATAATAAAGCTAACAGAGGGGGGAATAATAGCTGAATACCTCAGCAAGTCAATATAATAAGTAATTTGATAGAAAGGCACAAGTAAAATTAAAAAGAAACCCCCAACAGCATATAGCAGATGTATATGAATAATGGTTTGGGACAATTTGAGGGTATATATGAGAGGAAAAAGGCATTTGCCAATAAGCTAATCCAAGAATACTTGGAAAATGTAATTTAAAACTTATTAATATTATGAATAAAATGCAATTAAAGACTTGTGACATTCATTTTTAGTAACCACTTATTCTTTTTAGAATATCTGAATAAAAACAGGCAAATTAAATGTAAAAATTGGACATGTTATTGATAATATATGGCACTAGAATAATGTTTTAAAATGTAACTATAGTTAGAGAGATGGGAATTCTGTATGTGTTGACTTCCGTTTTCCCCTGTCATCTTTAAAGGAAAGAACTGTGAGGAAAACTATTGAAAATATAAATTGTCCATTTGGCCTGAGAAAGGAATAGAAATGACAGCAGTTCAAGAGGGGCTATTATATGGTACTCTGGTGATACTAGATTGGAGACACACCTTTTGAACAGGAACTGGTTCAGGCTTGGATGTAGCAGATGCTCTAGGTGAAAAAAAGAGAGAAAATAGAAAAAAAAGACAAATTTTATAAACTTGTAAACTTATTAATGGAATTTATATTATATACCTTACTATACTAAACCATCAGGATTTACATTTTTATAACTCATGATTTTGACTATTCATATTCTATTAATTAGTTTAATGGAACTCAAATGCTGCAAGATCCAATTATACCCGTACATACATTAGTTCTCTACCCACTTGAATGAGGAAAGACAAACAACAATCATGTTTACTAATGCACTCGTGTTTAACCTTTGCATTAAAAAGCTATTCCCTATCCAAAAGAGCATAGGATAATAAACATGACTTTTTGATCCTTGAGTGGTTCCTGAAACATCTCATGTGAATCGTTTCCAACAGTATCTGCCTTTTCCCCTAACATTCATGAATCCATCATGGGATACTGGCCTCTTTGTCAAGATACTGAATAAAATCTAGTTGAACTAGTCACCGAGTATTTATTTTGTATTCATATTCTTAACTGCTTTTGCAAGTTTATTTGTTATGGTAAAACTAAACTCTGTAAGTTCTTCCATTAAACTGTGATTTCAGTGAGGGTAATGACTCTGTTCCATTTGTGTCTCTGTGTCAACACTGTGCCTGGCATGAAAGGTCATTAGTAATGACTGTGAAAAGGAGAGAGCAAGGAAAGCAGGACAATAATCCATGTACAGGCTTAACTATTTCCAAATTCAAATTAATTATTTTTAATATATGCTTTCTGTATTATTACTGTTCCTTTGGTTAGCATGGACTAATAGTAGCAATAATTTATTTAGAGCAATTATCTCATACAATCATGAAAAACAACCAAAGTAGCAACGATCATTATCCTGATTTTTCAGATGAGGAATTTCAAAGCTAAAGTAAATTACTTACTAGGATAGAGCTAAGGCCAACAGTTCTTATGTATTACAATATACTGGCTATAGTCAAGAACAGTAACTAAATGATTAGCAAAGTTTCTAATAATTTAGAGGCTATTTACCCAGTATTAAGGCACATGTTATGTTTAATAATGCCAGAAGTAGTTTGACTCCCCTTCCATTACACAAACCTGAGGATAAGTCATCAAGTGCAAAATCCAAGAAACGTAACCATTGTAAGTAAGTAAATAAGCAATAATTTTAGAATACAAACCACGAGATTGTTTTACTTATAGAGAAAGAAGATGCTAGCAAAGGATATTTGGCCTCTATGAGCATAACTTAGTAAGGACCTCCAAACATTTTTAGCAGCAAATGAATTTTCCAATAATTAATTTAGTTAGCTTGGGCAAGCACTAACTGAATAGTTGATTAACCTAATGAGAGGCCAGAATAGATGTTAACATTTGGTTACTGCTATACAGAATTATACTCTGTGCAGCTGCATAACTTTCCATGTGTACTCTCAAACAGACTTTCCATTCGTACTCTCAAATTTCTTTTTTAGCTTATAAGGTTATTATAACAAGCAAAAGAACAATGGAGTCTTCCTTTCATTGGAATTTCACAACAAGATGCAAATCACAAAAGATCTTTGTAGTAAAACCACCCAAGACATTATTTACAGTTTACCATAATAAAGAGGGCAGTATCTTTTTTTTTTACATCTGGACACTTAAAGGAGCATGAAACTCTTCTAGCAATGTAATAACAATTTATGAAAAACAACATGATGTTTAATAGTTACTAGGTTTACAAACAAAATAAAATGCATAGATCCTATGTATACAAAAACCAAAACTTTAGTTTTTTTCCTAGATGTTTGTTTTCATTTAAAGAGTATTAACAACAGCAGAAACCACAGAATGGTTATTTTACATTAATTTTGGAGTCTAACCACTTCTTTTGTTGAAAAAGCATAGATTATAAATGAATCCTAACATTCTTTATGGATTGAAAGTTCAACAGAAACACTGTCTGAAATTTTAAATTCACAAAAAACTTTGTAAGTCTGACAACTGAATCTCTCCTTTTTGCCTTTTCATAAGGTCTCACGAGGGCAGTGACATGAACTAAGATAACCAGTCAGAGAAAAGAGGGGCAACATGTCCTTAAAATCCCAGGATTGAGTCCATTACATATTTAAAAAACAAAAATCTTATAGGAAAAAAATAGGCTGACTAATAATTAAATGTCAAAACTGTTTTCACAAGATGCAATAAAAATTAGTTCTGTTGGTTTAAATATTTAAATAACCATCAAATTAGTCAGAAAACGCTGAAACTTAGAAGGTTCTTTAGAGTTATGGTATCACAGGCCAATCAGGTACTCATCTGATCTCAGGTTGAATATTTACAGGAGCTCACAATTTAAGCCATGTAATTTTTGAATGCTTCCATTTAAAGTGGGAGTAAACAGAGTAAGTCAACCTCTCCACATTAAAAATAGCTGGAAAAATATTTTTTAAAATATTTGATTTATTTATTTTTAGAGAGAGGGGAAGGGAGGGAAGAAGTGAGGGAGAGAAACATCAATGTGTGGCTGCCTCTCATGCGCCCCCTACCAGGGGTGTGGCCTGCAACCCAGGTATGTGCCCTGACTGGGAATTGAACCAGCAGCCCTTTGGCTTGCTGGCCAGCACTCAATCCACTGAGCCACACCAGCCAGGGCTAGAAAACATTTTTAACACATAGCATATGTACATAAAAATCTACCACATGCATTAATTACATTTTAAAAGATTAGTATATTAAAAAAATTTCATAAATGTAATTATATATTTTATGACACAAACTACTGTGGTTCAGAAAATTTAGAATACATGACAAATAAAATGTGCAAAATTAAAAAATAGCAATAACATCAGTTTTCTTTAAAAAAATCAAACTTTACTAATTATTACAGAATAACAAAATAAAAAGATCATCACCTTTTACTTTCAAACATGTAAAGATTAGTTTTAATGTTAATACATAATGCTTGTGAGAATATGCTATATGTTGCTGGACAAACTATGTAGTATTATATAGTTCTTTTGGGAAATAATTTGGCATTTATTTATAAAAAGCCTTCAAGAAAGCTCATGCCTTTTAATATAATAATTACCTTCTGGGAATCTATCATCATGAGTAAATAATCTGAAATATGGAAAAGACTTCTCTATGAAAATATTTGTTCCCTACAATATAACTTATAATACTGAAAAACTGAAAACTGATTAAATACACAATGAGAAAATGGTACAACTATAATAAAACCACATGATGAATCAGTATACAATTATTAAAATCATTCTTAAAAAGAATTCTGAATTATGAGAATGTGCTTACTTTATAATGTTAAGTGAAAAAAGGGAGATAAAACATTCACAGGACGATTAGTGCATGAAAAAAAGTGTATGTATGGAAACACATCAACATTTTAATAGAGGCTCCCTATGAATACTTGTTTTTTCTCTTTTGTGTGTGTTTTCCATATTTTATACAATATACATGTGCTAATTTATATAAGTAAGACTTTTTCTCTAAGTATGCTTCATAGAAAACCACTTCCCAAAACATGAAATAAACAAAAAGGTTCTGTTATCAAAGATATCTGAAAAACTTGAAGGTAAAGTTACAAAAGCATCATAGCCACAAGACTTCTCAGAGTCTTTAAATGCCTACAGAAGAAAATACTTGACTGCTGGTCAAGACTGAGATGTCAGTAAACATACCTTACCTGTGCGCACGAGTACAGCAAAACATATGGCTACACTACAAAACAAATGTCACCCAGAATTGTCAGAAAATTGCAATACGTGGAAGTCTAACAACCAAGGATTTAAAGAAACCACTTCATCCAGATGGGTAGGAGGGGCAGAGACACAGAAAGGCTCACAGATGGAAACAGGCAGTCCCACATCCACGCATAGTGGATAAAAAACAGGAGGTATACCTTGGGAGTGAAGGATCCCAGCCCCAGTCCAGACCACCCAGCCTAGGGTCCCAGCCCAAGGAAGATAAATCCCCTTAACTTCTGGCTGTAAAAACCAGTGGGGGTTGGGGTGGCAGGAGAAACTCTATTCTCTTAAAGGGCCTGCAACAGACGTAGGACTCACACAGACTCACCCGCTATGGGATTCAGCACCAGGGTACCAGCTGGAAGAGCACCAGTGACATATGGGAGAAAATGAAGTACGAGTGGGGAGACAGCTTCCTCTTGGGAAAAACTCCAGAGGCCAGACATCAGCAGTGTCCCCTCTGCAAGCCCTCCGCCACACAGAACAACAGAGTGCTAGCAGGGTTGCCCTGCTCTGGCAATTACCTGAGGCTTTGCCTCATACAACTTAACAGGTGGGCTAAGACAGGGAGTCAAGCAGCTCTACCTAATACATAGAAACAAACACAGTGAAGCTGCCAAAATGAGGAGACAAAGAAACATATCCCAAATGAAAGAACAGAAAAAAAAACTCCAGAAAAAGAACTAAATGAAATGGAGATAAGCAACCTTCAGATGCACAGTGCAAAACACTGGTTATCAGGACGCTATAGGACTCATTGGGTACTTCAATAGCATAAAAAAGAACCAGGCAGAAATGAAGTTTGCATTAAGTGAAATAAAGAAAAATCTACAGGGAACTAACAGTGGAGGGGATAAATCTGAGACCCAAGTCAGTGATTTGGAATACAAGAAAGGAAAAAGTATTCAATCAGAACAGCAGAAAGAAAAAAGAATTCAAAAAAAACAAGGATAGTCTTAGGAACCTCTGGGACATCTTTAAACATGCCAATGTTGGAATCACAGGAGTGCCAGAAGGAGAAGAAGAGCTAGAAATTGAAAACTTAATTGACAAAATAATGAAAGAAAACTTCCCTAAGTTGGTAAGGAAATAGACATACAAGTCCGAGAAGCACAGAGAGTCCCAAACAAGATGTACCCAAAGAGGAACACACCAAGACACATCATAATTAAAATCCCAAAGGTTAAAGATAAGAAAAAATCTTAAAAACAGCAAGAGAAAAGGAGAGAGTTACCTACAAAGGAGTTCCCATAAGACTATTAGCTGATT